TAGGTGTTTCCAGCAGAGGAGGCTCAAAGTGCTCAACAGGCTCCTGGTTTTTGGGGAGTTGGCCCCTTCCAGGAGGATCATGAAGGACTGGAACGTCTGGGAAAAGCTGGGAGTGCTGGGACAGCTCAGCCTGGGGAAGGGGAGGGTCCTGAGGGATCTTCTCAACGCCTGTAAATGCCTGAAGGGAGGGTGGGAAAGGTCAGAGCCAGGCTCTGGGTGGTGCCCAGGGGTGGCTCCAGAGGCCTTGGGCACAAACTGAACCCCAGGAGGTTCCCTGTGACCATCGAACCCCACTTCAGCTGCCCGGGGAGATCCAACCTTGGAGATGTTCCAAAGCCATCTGGACACGGCCCTGTGAGGCTCTGGGTGGCCCTGCCTTGAGGGGGTTGGACCTGGTGGCCTCCAGAGGTCCCTGCCAAACCTCACCCGTTCTCTGTCCGTGGAAAACGTGGGAATTTTTCAGGCAGAACAGCCTCGAGTTTGGGAACCTAATTTATTAACCAGCTTCATTTATTGCTGGTTAACTGAAACTCCTGGTGAGCGATTTGGGCTCTGAGGTGGGAGAAGAAAAGAGAACACAGTCAAAAAGCACTGCAGCAAACAGGTTTTCTCACTCTTCCCCAGGTGCATTTCAAGTCCAACACCTTCATTTTCTTTCCCTTTCTCAGCTTGGTGTTGTTTTTTTTTCCGTGGCTTTTGCTCAATCTGTCCCGGTTTCTCTGCCAAGGCAGTGGGTGGCACAGAAATTTGGTGTCACCTGGGCGGTTTCTCGCTGCTCTCCTGCTTCTTCCTGCTCCCCTCTGCAGCACCTGGGTTGGCAGAATCAGGGGATGTTTTAAACCTTAAAAATGATCCAGTTCCACAAGGGACGCCTTCCACTCTCCCAGGATGCTCCAGCCTGGCCTTGGACACTCCCAGGGATCCAGGGGCAGCCACAGCTTCTCTGGGCAAGCTGTGCCATCCTCCCCACCCTCCCAGGTGGGCAAATGGAGTGTGAGGACCCTCCTGTTCCTTCAGTGGAGATCTCAGGCAGGTCCTTATCTCACAGGTGCGAAAGGAATCCACTGAACTGCTTGTCTCGATCTGGCAACACTCACTTGAGTCTTTTTATCCTTGTTTTCCTTTCCCACACCTCATGAAAACGAGCCCCTTGTAAGAAGCAGGAGATCAATTCTCCTTTTAAATGTCAGCATTATCTTTTGTTCACCCGGTGAGGCAACTGGGACCTTCTGGGGTTGCTGCTGTTGATTTACCCTTTTATTCCCGGGGTTCAGCTTTTTCCCTTTTGTCACGTTGTGTTTGTGTTCAACACCACTTGTTTTCCTTGCAGTTGTGACCCCCCTGCTTTGTTTCCCTTTACTCTCTCTCTGTTTTTTGTTCATATCTGTTGTCTGAACTCGGAAGAAACTGCTTTTCCCAGGCAGAAAGGATTTGGGTTTTTAGTCTGAACAACCCAATTATTTTTTTTTTTTTAGGAAGAAATTCCTCCCTGTGAGGGTGGGGAGGGGTTGCCCAGAGAATCTGGGGCTGCTCCATCCCTGGAAGTGTCAAGTTGGAGCAACTTGGGATAGTGGAAGGTGTCAGGACTGGAGCTGGATGATCTTTAATAATCCCTTCCACCCAAAACCATTCTGTGATTTCATGATTTTACGATTATTCCCTCTTTTTTTTTTTTTTTTTTGCCCCTGAAAAACCATCTTAACTGAGGATTTTTTCATCTGTGCTCACTTCCAGGCCTGTGGAGGTTTAGGAAAAAAAAAAAAAAAAAAAAAGAAAACCCTTTAGGAGAATAAATAGATTTAACTGCAAACAGATTGAAAAACTTTTTAAACCCAAGTCAGGAAAGAAAGGCTCTTGACAAATACCTTGTTAGCGCTTGAGATTGCGGTTTGTTGTGAAATGCTAAATTAAACCCTTCCAAATTGGATGTTATGCTAAGCAAATGTTTAGCTACATTTTCTTTTTTAAGGCAATTAAGCCCCACTTTAAACTGCCTGTGACCTTTAAACAGGCTGCCTAATGGTGCTGGTGCCGCAGTTATTTGCTATAAACTGGCAATTTTTAGCTTATACAAAGCAGAGCTCTTTTTTCAGGCTTCTTTCCTTGCTCCTTCTTTTCCGAAAGGTCTCTGCCTATTGGAGGTGATAATAGGTAGATACAAGATAAGTAGATTTGGACATCAGAAATAGCTCTTAGATGATCTAAGCCAAAATGTGTGGTAATCCAGGCTATTACTTTAATTATTATTTACCTAAATGACAGTTGTTGTGTTTTTTATGAGCAGCTTTCAGTAGGAGAGACAGATTTCTGAACTAAAGAATTGCAGAAGGTGGTGGAGGAATGCCTGTCATTTCTTTTGGTGGTATTTGCTTACTTTAATCAGCTTTTTAAAGAAGAAAACGAAGATATTTGTTTTGATTCACTTTCCAGGCTGTTTTCTCTTTCTCTAGCTCCTCTCTGCACCCCAACCCCTGCCAAAATAATGGGGGGATCCCCCTTACTTGTAATTATCTTCGTGTCCAGGTACTCCAACTTCAGAAAAATAAATAAAAATCACTTTTTTTCCCCATTCAAGTGGGCCACGTGACTGGAAGAAAGAGGCTTAAAGGGCCCTCAGGTGCCTTTTCTGGACCCTTGAACGACTTGTTCTTCTGTACATCTGATTTTCAGATTTTCTGGGAAAGGCTGCTTTTTCATGATCAGGGCATAACTGAGGGGGGGATAACTCTGCCCCTCTCTGTCCAATTCCATTTATTAGTCCTTCTGTTGGGCAGGGACAGCCCCCAGTGGGTAATGGGAGTGTTAAAAATCAGGGAACTAAGCGGGAAAGGCGGTTTGAGCTTGGGGTGTGTGTAGGGAGGGGGAAAGAATGGCGGGAAGAGCTAATTAAATGTGATAGCATTCCATGTTTTAGAGCATCTTTAATCCCCATTATCCACCACACAGCGAGGACAAGGAGCTCCAGGCAGGTGGATGTGGAGTCACAGGGAAAACAGGATCCAGTTCCCTCACTGACCCCTCACCAAACTCGGATGGATACTGGGAAGAACGAGGGTGGACTGGGAAGGAAGGGCTTTATGTCCAACGATGGGCAGTGCTGGTGGAGCTGCAGCCTTGGTGGGGTTGGGAGGAGCCTGATGGATTAATTAACACCAGGACACTAATTCCTGCTCCAGGCTGAGCTCCATCCTGCAGGCTGCACTCTTCCCTCGTCCACGCAGGGAAGGGAACTCACAGGGAGGGCCTTCCTGCCGAGGATCTTTTCGGGAGCTTCCTCTTAGCAACTGCTCCTGATTTCAACAGCCTGGCTGTCCCAGGGCTATTCCAGGGTTATTCCTGACCTGCAGGCAAGCAGTGGAATTCACTGCTGATGGATGTTCTTGGAGTACAGATAATATTTGCTGGCACTCAGGGACCGGCCCCTGGCTGGGCTCTGCTCGCTGTATCTCCTGCCTTTTAATTTTTAATGTTTAACTGACAGGTTTGTTATGAACCCGAATCCTCCGGTGCAGTCAAACCTCTTATTCCACCACCAGCCATCTTCACTTGGTAGGGAACGGGTTTTTAAACTTGATCTCAAACCTCTGTGTGCCCAACATGCTGTTTTCTGCCTTCTTACAACATCAGCCCTGAGATTTTGGAAGCTGCAGAGGGATGCTTTGCTTTTATTTATTTATTAGGAGCTGTGGAAAGTGAAAGGGAAAAGGAGCTAAAGCCGGGAGGGATGTCAGGTTGTTGCTTTTATGCACTGATTTGTCATTCCTGATGGAATGTTCGGGTTTTCTCAGCATTTGTTTTTAGGATGTAAATGAAATTTAAGGCTCTGCTGCCCACAGGTTTCAGATACTGGGGTGGTGTGGTTACATCCAGGACACCTGTGCAGCCTGAAAGATGTGGCTCCCTAAACTTTTCCAGCTGCCTCACGATAGCACTTCAGGAAAATAAAATTTAAGGCGTTTTCCTCCCCATTTATAACGTTTTGTGGATGTTGCTGTGATGGAAAGGGGTAACAGCAATCAAACATCATTGCCCGTGTCTTGTTCTGGCATTTTTCTAACTGGATAATCCTCCTGTTTGGGGGATAAACTGTGCCTTGATTTTTATTACAATATTTTATATTATAATATATTATATTATTTTACTATAATATTTTTAATATAATATATTATATAATATATATAATATATTATATAATTATAATATTTTGTAATACAACATTATAATTTTATAATCATATAATATTTAATATATTTTGTATGAATATATATTTATATAAGTACTTAAGGTATATAAGTATATAAATATCTATTTATAGTATTTAAATATATATTTATATAATATTTAAACATTTTATAAATCTATAATACATGCAAATATATAAAATATATAACAGCTATAATATATAACATATGATGAATAATATGTAACTATAATAAATAATATTAATAGTATATAGGATAGTAATAAATATACAAAGAATATATGAATATATGTAAACATATTTATAAAAATATAAAATTTATTATCTTTGTAGTATTGCAGTACAGTATATATGTAATATATATAATATTATACAGTAATATATTACTGTATAGTATAGTATATTTTTATTATAATAATACTATTACTATATGTATATATATGTATATATAATACTATTACTATAATAATACTACTATGACTATATGTAATACATAATATTATACTATAACCATATTATAGTATATTTTTATTACAATAACTATAAAAATTAATTATAATAATGAACTGTCTTCTCACTAACTTGTCTTACTTCAAATATTTGAAGACTGCACCTTCGATCTGAGTTGTTTGGATTCTGGGGCCCTTCTGCAGATTTAGGAATAAGGAAACCTTACCTAAAGGATTTCTGCTCTCAGAGGGTTTCAGACACCCCAGTGCTGGAAGAGCTGAGGGATGAGCGATGTTTGGAAGAGACTGCCGAGACAGGAACGGACGTTTCAAAGTTGTTTTCCCGCCAGGTGTCGGCCGTGGATTCCCTGGAGGGGCCCCTCCTGCAGGTGGAGGGGCTGAGCGACCTGAGGCTGGAGCTGCACAGCAAGAAGATGAACCTGCACCTGGTGCTGATCGACGAGCTGCACCGACACCTCTACATCAAATCCACCAACCGCGTGGGCCAGCGCGGCAAGGACAGGGCTCGCATCGGGTGGGTCTGGGGCCTGGGTGGGGGGAAAGGGGCAGCATTCCCTCTGCCCCAGGGGAAAGTGAGGCAGCTGTGCACTGCCTGCCGTGGTTTTTCACCTCTGTGGAGTAAAAAAAAAAAACCCCAAATCTGAAGTTCTGGAGCTGATGGGAATCTCCCGTCACACCTCGTGGATGGGGAGTGGAGCAGGAGATGCCCCTCCCAGAGAATGGAAATCCTGTCCTTTCAGTACCATTGGTGTCTTCCTGGTTGTGTTTTTTTTTTTTTTTAGTTGCCAGTGCAACACAAACCTTAAATAAGCTCTGAAAAGAATTCTATTGACACTTGTTACATCTGTGGGGATTGGCTGCCCCATCCCTGGAATTGTCCAAGGCCAGGCTGGACAGGGCTTGGAGCAACCTGGGATAGTGGAAGGTGTTCCTGCCCATGGCAGGGGGTGGAATGAGATGAGCTTTAAGGTCCCTCCCAACCCAAACCAGCCTGTGATGATGATTTAAATGAAGGTTCTTGTGTACAAACAGAGGAAGGAACCACAGCAGTGGCTGGTTTTGGGGGAGCAGCAGGTCTGGGAGGGAAGAGGACAACATTCCCCCTGTCCTGAGTAGAAACTTGGGAGAGTGCCATCCACCTACACCCCAGCCTTTCATTTCTGCCATGCAAATTCCTCATTTCTCTGGCCGTGGAGAGCAGGAAAACCCAGCTGTGTCGATGGACCTTCAGTCTTTCACTTTGCTTGGTGGTTCTCTTGGGTTTTTGCTGCTCCCCCCAGAGTTCTGATGAGCCCAATTCCCACTCTTTTCCTTCACTGGTACTTAACACCTTTCCTGCAAATGCCATGACCATGAGGTTCAGGTCAGGCCAAGGGAAGAAGACGGGGGAAAATTGCTCATTTTCTAGCAAACACCCAGATTTTAAAAGATGTAACCGTGAGGTTTCTAAATGGACTTTTAAAGGTTAATAGATGGAGGCCACAATATTGAAGCCAGAGCTTGAACTCTCTTGGCTTTGTTGTGTTTCCAAGGTGTTTTAAAAACTCCTTCACCTGGTTGGTGAAGGTGTTGAAACTTTTTCAGAAGAAGTGTTCTGAATAAACAGGGGTGGGGAGCAAAAGGGGAACCAACACACGATAAAGATGCAGAGAAAAGATAAATTAACATTTTATGGGGAGAAGGAGTAAAAATCTGCTTCCCCAAAGAGAACAGGCCAGACAGCAAGCTGCATGAAATGAATTTATGGAATAAAGGACTGATTAAAATTGAAATGCCTCGGAAGGAGCGTTGCTAGCAAGTCAGCAGTCCCTTCCTTACTCATCTTGTTAATTAAAAACAGACACAAAGCTTTGGTGTACCCAGACTGGGGCACTGCTAATTAACTGCAGTTTGGTGTGGCTGCTACAGGGACCTTTATATTATTCTGGTTTCTCTTTTTTTTTTTCATGTTCCCTGTTGCACATCCTGGATATTTGATGACTCGAACCCTTCCCAGCAAGGGAGAGTTTGTTGCTTTGATTTAACGTGCTGCCCTGGGCAGGCTGTTGACCAGGGTGCAAGAATGTTTGTAATTATTTCTTGTAGTGGTTTTGAGTGGGTTTTATCCAACTTTGGAAGGCACAGCTAATCCCTGGAAGCCTGGTTTTGTAGGTGTCTAAGGAATACAGTTGGTTCTTATGCAGGATACCTTTATTTTTGCAGGTTTCCATGAGCATTTTGACCTCTGAACTCCATTATAGGAGCCCTCTCCGTTTTTTTCTCTCCAAAAAACCCGATTTCTTGTGTTCCCCTGCCATGCCCAGCTCTCACTGTGCAGCGTGAGACATTTCTGGCAAATAATACAATGTGAATTTGTGAGGAAAATGACCAAGTGGAAAGTCTTAAACTCCTGAGTAAGGAGGTCCATTTGGGGTGGGATGCACAGAACAGGAGGGTGAAGGAGAGGAAATTCAAGCGTGGAGGTTCCTGGTGGGAACAGAAAAAGTCTGAAGGATTAGAAGTTGGCAGAAGCCATGGGAACAGGAGCATCTACAATTTAGGGAATAAATGGGTTGTTTGTTCTGAGCAAAGGTTCTAAAGAACAGCAAAACTATTTGCTTTAATTCTTTCCCCTCCCCACAGCTCCCTGGTGAAAGATGCCTCTCCTGTGCCTCTGCTGGATGTCACCAATTTATCCACACCTCGGAAGTTCCTGGAAACCTCCCAGTTCAGCACTCCTGGAAGCTCCAGCAGTGAGTATTTGAAGTCATGCACATCCCTCAGAGAATGAATTCGTGGCTGTTCAGCTGATTTTACAGGAGTAGCAGGAGGAACATCATCCCCTCCTCGTGTCTGGCTGCTGAGGGGAGATTAAAACTCGGGAAGGGGTTTGTGCAGGGCCACGAGGGATTGGTGTGTCCTGGGGCAGAACCGGCTATATCTGCTTTTTGTGGGGGTGTTACTGAAGTTTCTTCGCGGTGTTGGAGCCCAAAAGGTCAAATCTTCTCCCTTTATAGCTTTGGCTAAAGGTGTGTCTGTACACAGGAATAATCTGTCGAGGATCTTTGTGCTGCTACAACAAACACTGAGCAAAAACGGTGCTTTCCTGGGAGGCTTTGGAAGGGCCGCAGGGGTGGGGAATTAATCCTTGTATTGTTTCAGAAGATTAATAAGTGGGGTTGTCCTTGATGAATAATACAGAGGTGACCTGAGTCTCGTCCCCCCCTTCCTTTCCAAAACCTGACTGTTTCAGTATTCCTCAAATGCAGGGACTCTTCCCTTCTCATCCTGATTAATTCTTTTGTCCTTTTGTTTTTGCCACACTCCCCCTCCTGGATCCTTCTCTTTGATTATTCTTATCTTTTGCTCTTGTAGGGGTTTTGTTCTTTAGCTCTGCTCCTGCAGGGCTGCTCTCAGAGCCCCGGGGCTGTTTTTCCACCGAGTGGAGGTTTGTGAGGAGTCATTTGTGATCTGCCAAGGGAACCTTTCGGGGCTGGAAACCGCATTAAAAACCTGGAAGAGAGGAACTGTGTGAAAATTCTGAGGGAAAAACTCAAGAATTCCTGTTCTGCTCTGTGGTCAGTGAGAAATTCAGTTCAGCTTCTTGCTAAAAATCACATGGTTTGGGGGAACTGAGGAAATAACCCTCAAAAATCTGAATCCCAGTCTGACCACTGTAAATAGAACGGTTTGGGTCGGAAGGGGCCTTAAAGATCATCTGGTTCCAACCCCTGTAAATGTCAAGACACTTCCTTTTCAGTGAGGGGGTTGTGCAGTGCCTGCCATTGTTTTTCACTTAAAATATCAGTCCTCTGTGTAGTGAGAAAACCAAAAAGTCTGAAGTTCTGGAGCTGATGGGAATCTCCCATCACACCTCATGGATGGGGAGTAGAGCAGGAGATGCACCTCCTGAAGAATGGAAATAACCTTTGGTGTCTCCCTGATTCTTTGTTTTTTTAATTGCCCTTGTAAGACAAACCTTAACTGTGCTCTGAAGAGAATTGTGTTGACAGTTGTCACCTTCAGAGACTCACAGTTCCCAGTCCATCCCTGTCACATCCATGGAGGTTTGGCTGCCCCATCCCTAGAAGAGTCCAGGGCCATGTGGGACGGGGCTTGGAGCAAGCTGGGATAGTGGAAGGTGTTTGGCTTGGAAGAAGATGATCCTGAAGGTCCCTTCCAACCCAGACCATTCTGTGATGGTGATTTAAATGAAGGTTGGGAACATAAACCAGCCGAATACCTGGAAGCAAAGGCTTCATCCTCAGCTCCAATAACTGGTTCAGGTCAGTTGAAAAACCTGCCTTAAATTCTTGTTTTTTGCAGATCTCTTCTTGCTCCTCATGTGCCCAGCACGCCAGAAAATCTCTTCCCTGGCTCCTCATTCTGCTCTGTGTCGCTCAGTGAAGTGCTGGGCAAGTGTCCCTCAGACTGGGAAAGCTGCACATCATAATAGGAAACATTTGATCAGCATAAAGCATGCATATGGTTTTTTGCTTCAAGTGCACAATGTACTTATGTAGATTTTATTTTTTTTTCCCCCATGTAATTTTATTTAAAAGTGGCCTTTTCCAGGACTGCACAACTTGCAGGGAATTCAAAACTTATGTGCATGCATAAAAAAAAAAGCTGTTCCTGCCTTTAGTCACTTAAGCTCTTCTGGCTTTTTACTGATGAAACAAAGTGGCCTTGCATATTAATGTCATTATAAAGCCCTGACTCACTCGACTTGCCTCGGCAAAGATGCCAAAATTTGGAGTCCTTCCTGCCTCCCCTTCCCAAAGGAGGTGTTACCTCGTGCTGTAGAATCTTTATAAGGGAATTAAAGCTGTTCCTGCCGCACGTACAATAAACAAACCCCCTCGGTAACGCTCACCTGAGGATTGCAGATGTGGCACTTCACCAGTAACGTTTTCCCTTCATGCCAGTTCAGAGAAATAAATCCACTTTTAAATTGTGTTTCTCTGCTTGAACCTTCTGTACTCTTCTTGAAGAGTGTTTGGGAAGGTTCCTGCTTTGCCAGGCTCTTCCTGGAACTGTAAAACGTGCTCAGCTGGTTCATAGCAACCTCAAGTGGGCCCTTTCCTGAGAAATTTGGGAGAATTCTGCTCAGGAATCCCACAGAAGATGAGCTGTGATGGTGAAAATTAATATTGTTACTGACTGCACAGGTAAATTTTATCCTGAATTGGTAATTTACTTTAGTGACCTTTTTTCCCCAGTGATAGGAGAGAAATGGAACTTCCAAATCCAGGGTGGTTCTAAGGTCAGGTCTAGTTACTGCTCCTGCCTCTCTTTATGCAAGAACCAGCTACTTTTGGGGAGGTGAAAACTTGTGGAGACTTGTGGGAACTTGCTCCTGGAAAATCCCTGCAGGAGCCAGAGCTTTAAATGTCCAGTTTTAAAGGTGACTCCAAAAAAAAAATGCCCCTGTGCCACGTTGTCTCAGCTGCTTCCACTTCAAACACACCCAGTAAATACTTAAAAGATTTATTTTTTTTTTCTCCTTGGCCTCACCTGAGGATGTGGGTGGTTTTTCTCTAGCATTTTTCCTAAAATGTAAATGGTCTGGGGGTGTGTTTGGGGAAGGAAAGGGAAAATCAGGGAGATTTTAGAGCCCTGAAAGCCAGCAGAGTAACACATATTTTGCTCTCCCTGTAAAATTTCATTATTAGTTTCCTGTGCGTGGTCCCATCGTTGGATACTTGACCACAGGGCACTTACATTTTTTATTTGGGCGCTTGGTTTACATGCTTGTGTAGTTCAGGAGGATTTTAAACCTGGCTTTTCTTCTGGGCTTCGTAGTTACACAGAGCAGAAAACGCCCCAAATCTTTAAAGCTCCCATTTCTGCTGTAAATGTCCACGTGTTGCTCCTCGGCTCCATGAGTGGGTTGGAACAAGGATTCAACACCAGGAACGAGCAGGTGACGTCCCTTCAAGTATGAAATTATGGCTTTGGGGCCCCATGAACTCCTGTGCTTTTCCTCTGGAAGGTTTTTGAAGGCAGAAAGGGCATAATCAGAAGGGCATAAATCACGGGAAAATAGCACATTAAATTTTTACTGGAGCTCCTTAAAAATCCCCCAGCTAATGAAACCTTCAGTAACGAGCAGCAGCAAATTTTTGGAATGAAAAACAAGGCCCAAGAGCCTTTTTTCTTCAGCTGCTTTGCCTAAATGAGGTACCAGCGCTGACTTTTCAGGGGATCAGACCAGGGCTGTTAAAACAGCCCTTGCAGCAGGTTGGGTTCTTGGGAGGTGGCAGATCTGGACAAATGAAGGAATTCCCACTTGGAAAAGAAGGTTTGTGGGGCATCATTAAAGCAGGGATCTGTCAGGGAAGCTTCCACCCTTGTAACCATTGGAAGTGAGGAGTTGGTGATGCACGTGGTTCAACTTTCAGTGACAACTTTTGACTGCTTAAACACGGAGTTGTGTGTTTGCAGGTGGAAAAATGACTCAGTGATGAGGCAAAATAAGCATTCTTGTTGTCTCAGGGGGCTTTTGAGAAGCCATATTTACGTGTTCTGCTTCACAAGAGGTGTTCAGAGGTTGTTGGGACAGGAAGATCAGCCATTTCCCCTTGGATTATGGGGGTTCCTCCTGCTCTCCATCCCTATTTTCCAGCTCAGGGCACTGGGTACCCCCAAACAACTGATCTTGCTGTTATTAAAGACAAAGAAGACATTTGGTACCTCAGGCTCTTCCTGAACTTCTCTCACTATTTCCCCCACATCCAGCAGAGGATGGAGATTATCCTTGGCCCTCCTTTTGTCTCTGATTTATTTATAGAAACATTTTTATTGCCCTTTATAGCCAGATTAAATCCAGGCTGGGCTTTGGCCCTTCTCATTTTCTTCCCTTCACAACCTCCTTGTTTCTGTTCCTTCTGGGTTGCCTGTCCCTTCTGCCAAAGGTCAGAAACTCTCCTTTTTTTTTTTTTTTTTTTTTTTAATCTTGAGTTCCAGCCAAAGCTTCTGGTTTTTTATCCTTTAGGATTTCTTCCTTGGTGAATTGTCCAGCTCTCCTGGACCCCTTTGCCCCTCAGGACAGGCTCTCACCTCAACTCTGCCCCGTCACAATCCACGGTCCCTGTTCTGCTGCCCCCTCCCCCCCAACTCCTTCCTTGTGGGATTTGAAGGTGGGAATAAGTTCTGACAGCCCCTTGCTTTTGTCTTCACACAAATGAATCGCAAAGGAATTCACATCCCCAGTTTTGGAGTCAATACAGGCAAAGCTTTCACTTCTGATCTGCCAGGGGCACCTTCCTTCACCTCTGCCCGTCTTGGGGGGGGCAGTTTTCAAGGTGAGCTCCTTATGTGTCCTTTGATGCCTTTCTGGAAGAGGAAAGGGGCAGGAGGGGCTCGTTCCTGAGCCAGAGCTTTGTGGCCAAACAGCCCCTCGGTGACATTAAGTGGATTTATTTTTGAAGAAGAGCGCCTTGAGTTACCCAGGGTTGGGATCTCCTCAGATCTCACACGTGAATGAGAACACAAATCCACCCAGGAATTCTGTTTAATAAGCACAGTGTGGAGGAAAAACCCATTGAAAACAGGTTTTATGCAGCAGCCAGACCTAACAGAGGCGCAAATCCACGTCCTGACCGTTCTGGGGGTGCTGGAAATCGGTTTGCTCTTCTGGAAATGTGAAGATTTCCTCTTAAAGGCATGTTGTGCTGGCAGAGTTCTCAGCAAGATTGCTGCTTTTGCTCCTCTTAAATGCTGTCCTCCCATTCGGATACAGCTCAGTTTTCCTCCCTCTCGGGTTTTTTCGTTGTGTGATATTAAGAATAATTTACAGCCTGCTTACAAAGGAGCTGCAGAGCGGTGATGGGGGCTCTGGGAAGCTGCTCAGGCCGGGAAATAATCTGCGCTGAACTCAGAGAAACAAGATATTTGGGGGGTTTTTTAAAAGAAAACAACAGGTTAAACCTTTCTTCCCGTGCTCTTTTCACAGCTCTTGTTGCGAGGAGCTCGTTTTGTGTGTTTGTGCCTGGCGTGCTGTGGGTTTTGGGGAACAACAAATGGCATTAAGAGGGTGGGTAGAGAGAATGTCTGCAGCACTCAAAGTGCTCTGCAGCCTCGTGGGGTGAAAGGTGTGTGATGGAGGAGAGCTTTGAGCAGGAATGTGTTTGCATCCAGTTGTTAAATTCCAATTGGTGTTATTGCTTATGTGTGTTTGAAGTGTCTCTGTATTATCCTTGCTTTTTTAACTGCTCTTTAAAAAAAAAAAAGTTAATGCACTCTGCGTGTTTCTAGTTGTTTGTCTCGTAACTTGTTCAAATTTAATTGAAAAGAGTGTGAGAGAGAGAGAGAGAGAGCAAAAAGCACAATTTGATCTTCCTGATGTCTCATAATCATAGAATAGTTTGGAGTTGGAAGGGTCTCTTTAAAGGTCATCCAGTCCAACCTCCCCTGCCATGGGCAGGGACACCTCCCACTATCCCAGGTTGCTCCAAGCCCTGTCCAGCCTGGCCTTGGACACTCCCAGGGATCCAGGGCAGTTCAGCTTCTCTGGGAAATCCAGTCCAGCCCCTCCCCACCCTCCCAGCCAGCAATTCCCTCCCAGTATCCCACCTGTCCCTGTCCTCTGGCAGTGGGAAGCCATTCCCTGTGTCCTGTCCCTCCACCCCACATCCCAAATCCCTCTCCAGCTCTCCTGGAGCCCCTTCAGACCCTGCCAGGGGCTCTCAGGTCTCCCTGGATCCTTCTCTTCTCCAGGATGAACATTCCCAGCTGTCCCAGCCTGGCTCCAGAGCAGAGGGATCCAGCCCTGGGAGCAGCTCCGGGGCCTCCTCTGGACTCTCTCCAGCAGCTCCAAATCCTTCAGGAATGTTGTTCCCAGGGCTGGGGCAGCTCTGCAGGGGGGTCTCAGCTGAGGGGGCAGAATCCCCCCTGCCCTGCAGCCCCCACTGTGGGATCAGCCCAGCTTGTCTTTCTGGTCTCAGCCCTGCCCTGCTGGCTCATGCCCAGCCTCCCACCCTCCATCTCATCACCCAAATCCTGCTCTCCCTCCCCTGTCCCATGTGGTGCCCTCCCAGCATCCCTTCCCACCTTTCTGTTCCCGGCAGCATTTCTGGGTTGGAATGAGGAGTGTGTGAACAGCGGGGTCGGTTTGAGCCGGGGGGGGCCGAGTTTGGGATCGCTCTGCTGCAAAGAATCAGATCTCTGGCTTGTTTGAGCCTGAGGTCGGTGTGAGCTGGCACCAAGAGGAGTGTTATGTGTTTACTGTGATTATATTTATGAAGTGGCACCATCTGGGCTCTTTGGGACGTTGTTTTCTCGGTCTTGCTCGAACTCAAGAGCTGCTGCTGCTGCTGCTCCTCCGTTCAGAGTCCCTGAGCTTTGGGCAGCTCCTGCTCCTCGTGACGTGCCATTTCTCATCCCTGCCACGTTCCTTCAATCCTCCTGCTGGATCTTTTGACATTTCCTTCAACTTCTCGGAGAAGTTTTTAAGTAAAAAAGAAATCTGTTGAGGAGTTGGAACCACGGGGAGTCATCTGTCACCCACCAGCCCTTCCCTTCCCGGAGCTCAGCACCGGGAAGAGGGAACAGCCGTCGGTGGGGGGGGGGGGTGTTTCATTTTTATCCAAGGATCTGGTGGCTGTCGATCTTCCAAGATGCTTTTAGTTGAGTTTGCCTTGAAGACACACTTAACTTCCCCATAAGTGTTTAAATCTATTTATTAAATGTTTCACCCAGCCTTTAGCAGAGCCACGCTTTTGTTGTTGCTGGGTGTTATCTGTAAATTAAAGAAACGTTGCTTAATGAACACACTTAAGCCAAGCAGAGTGTCTCCTGCTTTCCCATCCCTTGTCTCTTAGCAACAGGATTTCTCCCTGTGCAGTCCCTGTGACTTCAGGGCCATAATCCACGATACCCTCCCTAATTTTTCCTGCTTTTCCTCTTTAGGAGCCCCTGCTAAAAGATTTGAGTAACTTCATCAACCCCCTTGGCAGGAGCGATAAAGCGGAACGAGAGAAAATCAAACCGCTTTGGCAACATAAACTTTGCTGAATAAATCAGAAGTCTCTTAAGCTCGACACTGTTTGTAGTGAAAATTCCTCTCTTGTGACAAGTTAAAACAGCTGGGGTAGAAATTCAGGGCTTTGAAGGGATTTGTAGGGATGTTGTACCTTCTCATTTAGGAATATCTTCATTGCACCGGGATTCCTCTGTTCCCTAACACATAACTTGTAGCATCCTCTGTTTCTGACTCAGCTGTGCAGGTTACTGTATTTATGTATAAAAAAGCCCCCAAGCAAGCAGAAATACCCACTGCTTTCCCCTCCTTCCCCCAAAATCCACGTGTTCCTCGTTTATTCCTTGATTGCTCAAAGTGGTGGAAGTTCTGTGAAGGCAAAGGAGTTCAGATGCTGCTTCTGGAAGGTCTCAGGTGTTGGGTTTAATAGTCTGAAATCTCTGATTGCGCCTTTTGACATCTCTTCCAGTGCGAGACTCGAGCCTTCTGGAAATCAAGGACGACACGGAGCTGGATCCGGAGGAGAACAGCAATGTCTTCATGGGAATTCTCATCAAAGGGCTGGCCAAGCTGAAGAAGATCCCAGAGACAGTGAAAGCCATCCAGGATCGCCTGGAGCAGGAGCTCAAGCAGATTGTGAAGAGGTCCACGACTCAGGTGGCTGACAATGGTTACCAGAGAGGGGAGAATATTTCCCAGGAAAACCAGCCCAGGTAAGGATATCCCAGGAAAAAAAAAAAAAAAAGTCGTAATTGATGATATGATTGGAAAAAGAGAAAACTCAGCTCAGTTATTTGGAGTGTGGCAGAGCCCAGCTAAGCCTGAGGCAGGTGCAGAGCTTTGAAATCGTGTCTGGATCATAGATTAATGACATGAACCTGCCCAGAGGGCTGAGTGAGGCACAGAAAAGTTTAATGGGTTTTGGCATGTGGAGCCTTTAGGATGCCCCTATTCCAGAGCTTGGGAAAAATGTCTTGAATTCTTGCTGAACGCAGAGATAATGAGAACTGATTCTAAACCTAAATCACATGTGAAGTTTACAGCAAGCAGGTGAATTCATTTACAATGAAAAGAATAAATTATAGGAGGGAAGGGTGTTCCCGCCCCTCAAATTAACTCCAGTTTTAAATCAAAACTCAGCCACTTTCCAGCTGTCAAGGAGAAAATAAATCTGAACAACAAGGTCCTGCTGTTTCAATAGAGCTCTGTAAGGCCCCAAATCTGAGCGTGATGCAGTGCCCAAAAACTGCTTTTAACTATTCATCAGGCTGTCAGTGCTCACGTGACCTCAGGGATTTGGGGAGGGAGATGTTTTTCAGTTCTACCCTTAAAACTGCTCACACTGGGCTGCTTGGAGTCTCTCCCTGAGCTCAGGGCCTGTGTTCAGCTGCTGTTCTTCCCAGTGGTGTCCATAAAAATTCCCACCTATGGCAAATAAAATGACTAACGGAGGGGCCTGTGGGATCTCAAGACTTGTGCTGGACGAGTTCCTTGAGGCTCATTCCTGATGCACAGCACGAGTTCGGGGCGTTCCTTGCTCAAAAGTTGACTCTTATTTTTCCCACGGGAAGGGGGTGATTGTTTCCCCTCCACTCAAGGGAGGGAGACACATCCACACCCCCATCCCTGGAAGTGTCCAAGGCCGGGCTGGACGGGGCTTGGAGCAGCCTGGGGTAGTGGGAGGTGTCCCTGCCCGTGGCAGGGGGTGGCACTGGGTGGGTTTTGAAGTCCCTTCCCACCAAAAGCCCTCAGGAAGAGCGACTTGAGATCCCCTGGGATTTGAAGTGATTTGAAATTGGAAGTTGGAGCCTGGAGCAGCAACAGGTTCCAAGTTGTTCCTTGTCCCTGGCAGAAGATGACTTTGAAAACTGCACTTGAACCTCCCCCAAGTTGCAGCTGACTTCAGCTTTAATTTAAATGGACCATTTTAAAGGCTGGCTGAGTTCTCTGACATTTTCAGATCTCTGTGCTTGGAACAAGTTTATGGAAAAAGGGCTTAAATGTAGGAATTGCCACTGCCTTATCCTTAATTAGTGGTTCATTAAGGCACGTGTCATACCTTTGTGTTTAGAAATGTTCATCCTGAGTGGAAGACAAAGTCACAGAGCCATAGTTACGCTGCTGCAGGAACCTGGGGGTCCCTCCTGGATTTTGGAAGATGTGGCTGTAGAATAATAACACTAATACTACTAATAATCTGGATGCACACCTACTTGAGGGCCAGACATATGGGACATTTTGGTGAGGACACATTAAAAATTCCAGCCCAAGAGGAGATGGTGCAAAATCCTCTCATCACTTGGATTTACTGTGCTTTTCCCTCCGCGTTCATAATACACTTGTGACTTCTGACCTCGTCCCAAAGCTTTAAAATAACTTCAGGGATGATGTCCCTGAGCAGGCAGAGGACGTTATTGCTGCTGAAATGCCCGAGTTGTCACCGGTGACCCCTCTCAGGTGTCAGCAGTCACTCTGCATCAGCTCATTCCCGTTATTCCCCCGGACTATGGAATTTGCTTCCGGCTGTGCCTTGCTGCCTCTCCACATATTCCCCCCTCTCCTCTGCCAAGGGGTCACAGGCTGGCTGTGACAGATTGCCTGAGCCAGGCTGCTGTCACTGCCTGTCCCCGCTCAGCTCAGGTCACCCGCAGCTCCAACCCCATCTGCATCAAATGTGGGCCACGTCACGGGATGTGTTTCGGCCGCCCCTGGCCCTGCGGGGTCACCTTGGCTCGGAAATGACCTGACACATTTACAGGGCTGGGGGAGGGGAAGGAAGAGAAGAGGTGGAAATGCAGTGTTGGATCAGAATGGGAGATGCAAAGGGTGGTTACAGACACCACGAGTGTGGATTGGGGGGATTGCTTGTCTTTCAGGACACAGGAATAGGGAGACACCGGAATTTAAAAAGAAATCATTCTGTTCAGTGTAGTGTTATTTTAGGAATGACTTAGTGAACAAGTTGATAATAATGGCTGATAAACAGGTTGATAACGTGAGGACAGGCTCACCCAGGGACAATAAAAATGAATTTGTCCAACTCTCCAGCTGGTTCTGTTCTGCCAAGCGGTCCTTTCCTGGACAAGGAAAGGAGGTATAGAAATAACTCAGTTCTTGTTAGTATTGGGGTGTTGGTAGAAGCTGGGTTCAGGGTGATGAATTTTCTCAGTGGTAGATATTCATTTGCTCCCATAACATTACCCTGTTTGGCATTTCAGCCAAGGCTGTTGAGGCTTTTGTTGCTTCTCCTTAAATACGAAGAAACTCAACACAAACACCAGTTGTTTGGTTTCTATTTAAATGTGTTTTAGTTCCAATGGCTCTTTCTGTTGAATCAAGGAAGGCCACGGGTTAGTTCAGAGAACTGGAACACTTTTCCTATGGATACAGGCTGGGAGAGCTGGGAATGTTCATCCTGGAGAAGAGAAGGTTCCAGGGAGACCTGAGAGCCCCTTGCAGGGCCTAAAGGGGCTCCAGGAGAGCTGGAGAGGGACTGGGGACAAGGCCTGGAGGGACAGGACACAGGGAATGTCTTCCCACTGGAAAAGGGTAGATTTGGGTGGGAGATTGGAAAGGAATTGCTGTCTGGGAGGGTGGGGAGGGGCTGGACTGGATTTCCCAGAGAAACTGTGGCTGCCCCTGGATCCCTGGGAGTGTCCAAGGGCAGGTTGGAGCAACCTGGGAGAGTGGAAGGCGTCAGGGTTGAAACTGGATGATCTTTAAGATCCCTTCCAACCCAAACCATTCCATGGTTCCATAATTCCATGAAGACTGACGTGTGGTGGTGCAGGAGTGGGAGCAGCTCCGGTTTTGCCGGATTCCTCGTGTCCTGCCCCGGGAATCGCAGCTCCCGCCGGGCACCCACAGCGAGCATGTGGTGACTCCCAAGCTGCTGCAGGGAAATGTGATGGAGCCTGTCTGTCAGAGCTGGGAGTGCCTAACATATGGATTTGGGAAGTGTTATCTCCACGTTTTGTTGGGGTTATGTGTCTCCCTGGGTTGCTCATTAAACGCCGGTGAACTCGATCGCGGTTCCTCTGTTCTCGGATAGTCAGAATGTGATGTCACTGCCTCATCACAAACTATTTAGGGCTTTGCTAAGGCTCATTAATTACAGGAATTGGGCAGTGAGGAAGCCATAGGAAGAGGTAAAATGTGGGACACTGAGATGAGATTATCACTGTCGTAAATACAGTGGTAAATTCTTGCTAAGTGACGCAGGTGAGGAGACTTGATATTTTAGGTTTCTGCTATTTTGCATCGTTTAAAAGCTGCCGTATTAATTTAATAACTCAGAATTGATCTCTTGTGTTCTGTTTGTGTGGCTAAGTCCATTTTTATTGCCTCGAGGCTCTTGTTTTCTGCCAAGGAAAGAGCAGGTTGTCTCCCTCCCTCCCTCCCTGTGTGGGGTCATACAATAATCTCTGATTTACTCTGTAGTTACTCCAGAGTCACTAATGGTTCTGTCTTCCTCGTAGCCCCAAGCAGGACGCTTCAGTGCTGATGTAGAGGAGGGAGTGAGGAGAAAGATCCTCAGGAGTATTCATGCACCAAACCCGAGCCGAAATTAGAACCCCCAGAGCGGGTTTGAGGCCAGGTGACCTCTCGGCACACGAGGCCACGCTCTGCTGGCTCCTTCCCACTGCTCTGGGTGTGCTGGATGACCCCTCGTGCCCGTGGAGCCTTGTGGGGAGCTGAGCAGAGGTTGTTTTGGTGGTTTCCAGGTTGCTGCTGGAGCTGCTGGAGCTCCTCTTCGACAAGTTCAACGCGGTGGCCGCGGCGCACTCGGTGGTCCTGGGGCACCTCCAGCAGACAGTGGCCTCTCCCTGCAGCCAGCACGATGGGGACATCAAGCTCTACGACATGGTTGACGTGTGGGTGAAGATCCAGGATGTCCTGCAGGTAAGAGTCCTCCAGGTGGGCCCATTTTCAGCTTGGAACAGCTTTTAGAACCAAAAATACCGGTGTGGGTACCTGCCGTGCTCAGGAGGAGACAGCAGTGCTGGGATTCGTCTCGGTTTTTGGGAAGTTGGCCACATTTATAACAGATTGTGAAACTCCAGAGAGAGCTTAAATATCAGAAAAAAAAATATAATTCTGTGGGTTCATCCTTCTGGTGTTGGTTCCTTTTGCCTACCAAGTGATTTATCAGCAGCTCTCAAACCGTGACATTTTTGTTCTGTTGTTACCGTGTCATTGCTGTCTCGTGAGGTGTCCCAGCTCTAATGGCTTGTCTTCTCCTGCCGTTGTGGCTGGGCTGCAGGCAGCTGAGCCACTTGTTTTGGGGAAATTCTTATTTGATTCTTCCTCTTGACTGTGAGAGACTAAAGCTGTGCCTTGCTCGGGCTTTATTCTGGGGCTGTGCCTCTCACCTCGGTGTCTGAGGCTCTCACCTGTCACATGCCTGTTCTCTCCTTCTTGCTGAGGGGCTCACACATGAATATTATATTTCCTTCTTTCTTTATGTGGGAATTGCCTTTCTGTACAGAGCACAGATGTAGAGCCTCACCCGGGATTTTGGGAGAGGAGGTCAAAGAAATGAGCCTGGCAAGATTTATGGTGGTCATTCCACCTGTGCTGATGGGAAGCGCTCTCTGCCTCCTCCCCTAACACAGATTTTCACTGCAGGGCTGTTATTCAGCTGTTGCTCTACAGGTTTGTTTGATTGTGCAGTGATGCAGTTTGGTTTTTTTTGCTTACCCAAATATTCACCTCTG